CCCCACCACCCACTCGCACCCCGCCCCGGCCAGGCCAAGCTGGGACGAGTTGCATCCCCGGACTTAGCTAGAGGAGCTCTCGCAGAAAGGACTTTTTCTCAGCAAGAACATTGCGGACGCCTGTCTTTCTTCCACGCCTCGATCTCATTTCCCCTGCGCGATAACCCGGTAATTACTTCTATGCAGGTCTGCAAGCCGGCGCTGACTTATCGCGTCCCAAACAGAACCAGCTGGAGCGGCGCCTCTATATTCGTTTGCCGAGAGCTCCTCCTCGGAAAAAATTAATTTTTTTAAATAATAAAAGGACTCTCGTGCCTCCTCCAAGGGTCCTCGGTCCACCCCGGAACAATTTGATTTCTTCCCAATCGTGGGCCGACGTGGGCTCCTACCTCCCTTCGCCAGGAGCCCCCCTCCCCCTCCCTAAGAAAATCGATATTGGCTCTATTTGTTGCCTGATGTTCGCCACCCCCATTTCCCCAGAGAGCGCTGGGTTTGTTTATTTCTTTATTTATTCCCGTGGCCGAGACGTCTGGGACTTGGGGCTGCGCAGACCCGGGGCTGATAGGCGAAGACCGACAGAAATTAACCTCCCGCCGTTGCCCCCCAGTCGAGCGTGATAGCGCGCGGGCCGGTTGCGTGACTTGTGACGTCTCCAAGTCCTATAGGTGCAGCGGCTGGTGAGATAGTCGGTATCGCTTGGTTGCCTCTTTATTTTATTGGGGTACGCCTGGTAATAAATAGTAATATTTAATTTGTCGAAGACCACAAACCAGCCTCGAGCTGGGAGGTACATACTACTCTTGACAGAGGTTGGAAGAAGGCTTGGCCTAAAAGGGGTCTCTTTGGGGGGCCCTTGGCAAACTCTTCACTTGAACCCCCACTCCCGCGCAAGGCACCACCGCTGGCTTCTGCGTTGGAAAGAAGAGGTGGGATTTTTGGAGGTGAGTGTCCCCCACAGCTATGGGGGAGGGATAGGTTTCGCTCGGCACTTGGCCTGGCAAAGACCCCCTGGCTTCCCCGCCCCAACTCGGCCCTGCTGAATACCCCCTCCCAGAGATGCTGTTTTTCACGGTGGAAATAAGAATGCACTCTTTTTGCATTTTGCCTTGGAGTGTCACCTGGCAGGAATAGATTCCCGCTGGAGGTTTCAAAATCCCAGTTTCGCTTGGGGTCCAGCACAGCCTGCACTCCACAGACCAAGTGAATCTGGCCAGGCCGTTACTTGGGGGAGTTCAGATTTGCCCTCCCGGGAGGGGCCTGCAAATTATTTATGGGAATTTATTTTATCCGCAAATCTCAGAGAGTTTAAAGGGATTGGAGAAGTCTTTCTGGATTTCCCCTTCCTTTTGCCAGAGATGCAGAGATTCAAGCTCATCCTGAAGCCATGTTTGTTTCCAGTCTTTGGCCCGGGGTCACCTCCTTAGCAAGCCCAAAGCCCTCTGAGCTGACATTCTGGAAGGGTGAGGGTGTTTTCACACAAATAAATAAACTGCTGTGGTGAAAGGTTGTTTGCAAACAAACCTGGAAGGTGGAGTGAGAACTGTAGCCGACAGCTGGGCTTGCTTTCCTCCCCCTGGTCGCCCCACTTTTAGGGATGGATGGTCCGCTTTGTAATTTTGCAAGGGGTGTGTTACACCCAGCCCGCTGCTGATCTCCAGCGCATTTCTCCTCTCTCCATCCCTCTCCCCAGACCTTGGCCTGCAGGCCCAAGTCTCTAGTCAGAGCCCCAGAAAAGAATAAGGTGAGGCGGTAAGGGAGGCAAGGGGGGAAACGGAAGGGAACCCTGACATTTATTCCAAGCACCAATACTTGGTGCTCCAAACTGGGTCTGCTCAGGCTAAGACCTACTCACTGTGTTTACGCTTCTATTGACCTCTTCAACCTGCAAAATAATACATTTCAGAGAGGGGGAGGGCAGGAAGAGGGGCCCAGTGGAGATGAAAATCCCAGCCAGTCTCCCATGACTGTTTGATTATTTTAATAAAACTGGGTACCGCCTGGCGTACACCTCCAGCCAGGGAGGTCTGCTGGCCCTGGGGGTGGGAGCCCCCAGCAGTTTCTTGGCATCTTTGATCTGGGCCCCCATTCCAATGCACCTTCACCCTGCCTTCACCCTGGAGTCGCTGGGAGTCGGGGTGGTGAGTGGGGAGGGGGAGAGATGTCAGGGCGGCCGTCGGCGGCCAGCCGGGCCAGGCGGGGTCACGCAGCTCTGTCTTGAGGTCAGCGTTGGAGGGAGAACGTGGGCCAGGCTTTCAGAGGAGGCGCGGGGTGTGTGTGTGCAGCGGAATGCATTCAGACTCCGTTCTCTGCATGGCCGTGTCCCCAAGATTACTTCCCAGGCAGAAGCCGACCGGGTTTGCGATGATTTGTGCAGGATTTTTTGCAGCCACCGAGCCGAGCTCAGAGCAGCAGAGATGGATGAAGGTTGGGAAGGGGGTGGAGAGGAGGGGTGATCTCCAGGTCTGGGTTTGAGAGTAGTGCTGTGATTTGAGTGTTCGGGAAATCTAATGGAAAAGGTGGTTGGGGGAGGGAGTGAGAAGAGAGAGGGAGGGAGAGAGGGAAAGGGAGGGAGGGAGGCAGGGAGGGAGGGAGGGGGGGCGGGAAAGAGGCAGAGGCAGGCTGTGTGCAGTGGGAGCTAGTTGGATAGGCAATTTCGGTACTTTGTAAGCATCAAGGCAGCCCAACGTCACTGAGCTCAGCTGAGTCGGCTTGTATTTCTGAGAGAGAGAGAGAGAGAGAGAGAGAGACAGACAGACTCTCTTTCCTCGGATTCCAGAACTTTAACCCTGAAAGCGGCGCCCATAAAGGATCTTGACCATTCCCACAGCTCCCTCCCATCTCGCAGCTTCCCTTCCCCAGGGGTGCAAGTGAGGAGCAGGGTCCTGAGGTGTTATCGTTGAGGGTGCTCCGGGAGGCTGCTGCTTGCGTCCCTTGGAGCCCTTCTGGCGCCTGACAACTTGGAAGTCTTTAGGGAGAGCGAGCAAGCGAGCGCAAAGCGGAGGAGGTGTGTGTTGGAGGTGGGCAGTCGCTGCTGAGGCCCCAGCGGTGGGTGATCCTTTGGAGGCAGCGGTAGCCGCTAGTCTGGGCAAGCAGTCCCCGGCATAAGCCCCGGAGCCAGGATGCCCGCGCCCCCGCCTCGCCGCCGGCTTCCCTGCTAGGAGCAAGAAGGGATGTGGTGAATGCACCGGCTTCGCCCAGCGAGGTAACGGTCCCCGAAGATGGCCTGGGAGGCTCGGGAGGGAGCCCTCCGGCCGAGTGGGCTCCGGGAGGCGCGAAAGGCGGGACTGCAGCCCTGCCCGGGATTCTGCGGAGCCCGGCTTGCAGAGAGCTCCTGGCGTGTGGAGCCAGCCGGGGAGGCGTGCGGCCCGGAGCGGCGTGGAGGTTTGCAGGACGCGCGGCCTGGTTCTGTCAAACTGCATCTAGTTCGCCCCCCCCCCCACCCCGCCAGCCCCGAGCTGCCGCCGACCCCGACCGGGGTGCAGGATGCGATTGTCCCCGCGGCCGGCGGCGGAGGCGAGCACACGTGGGGGACACCAGCCCCGGGTTCTTTTGTTGCAAGCCGGTTGCGGTGGCTCCCAGCACCTCCTCTCCCGAACCCCGAGGGTGTGGTGAGGGAAGCTGCTTGGGAGTCGGGCCTCGAACGCCGTCCTCCTCGGCCCCGCTCTGGGTCTCCAGCCCCCGCAGCCCTGGGTGGGACCCAGCCTCTGGCTGAAGCGGCTGCTAAGCTTTGGGGGGCCATCCTTGGCGCTCCCTTCCCAGTCTCACCGGGTTTTGAGGGAGGAAATCCTTACTTGGAAACGTGGAGGAGATTGGAAAGCGATCAGAGCGAGAGGCAGGCTCCTCCGGGCTTGAACAGTTCCGCAGCTGTTATTTTTCGCTCCAAACTCCTAAGCCTGCAACCCGGGCCCTTCTACCCCTTGCGCCCAACCCAGGAGGCCGATCCAACGCCTGAAGACTAGAATATATCTGGGACCCATTAGATCCTCGCCGCCACCCTCCCCCGCCCCCCGCAAGCCTGGGCCTGCACTTCCAGCGAGCCAGGCCGGGCTGAAGCTCAGAGAAACTCCCCTCGGCCTGGCCGCTCGTCAAAATGCCGGTCCCGGGCTGGGGAGCCGAGGAAGCCGAGGTCGCCGGGAGAACGCACCGCCGGGGCAGGCGGCCGAGCGCTGGCCGCGGGCGCCCTGGAGCACGCCTCCCTGCGCACTGCCCCGCCGCCGCTTTCCTGCCCTTTCCGTTGGGCTACTTTTCTTTTTCTTTCTTTCTTTCTTTCTTTTTTTTTTTTTTTTTTACTGTTGCTAAAAGTTGGGGGGAAAGGGGGAGGACTTTTACTGTTGAAGGACTTTTAACTTTAAGGCCTGTAACTGATAAAGGATGAACGTGAATTCTCCTGCCGACCTGGTCTCTCGATCTGCAAAATCTTTCCCCACCTCTGTTTTTGGTTTTGCAAGAGGCGGGTTGTTGCAGACATTTTGCCTGCTGCGGAAAAATATGCCTGTTGCGAGTTTTAATAAACGGGGCTCTGATGTCCTTCTGTGAACGTGACGAAGAAAAACAATTCTCAAAAGGACACTAGGTTTTTGTTTTGTTTTTGGTTCGTACCCAATGGCTTCCAAAAATACCCAGGCCTTATCTTTATTGGCTCTTCCAGAAGTCCAGACAAATTTGACCGGCAGCTGGCTTATCATGGGGGAGGCTGCGCAGGGGAGATGTGGGCCTCGCCTCCGCCTGGTCTGACCCGGGTCTTTCGCAAGAGGTTGTGCGTGGTCATAAAAGTACTAATAATGATAATAATAAGGGGACCTTCGGCAACCTCCTCCTGCAGGGAACGGAGGTGCTGGGAGCTGGAAACTGGGGACCCAGCTGCTCCCTCCTGTCACTAGAACAGCGTTTCCAACCTTCTTTTCTCTCTCTCTGCCTCTCTCTCTCTCTCTCTCTCTCTCTCTCTCTGCTTCCTGTCCTCAGAGCAGGACCCTTCGCGGGGACAGGGCGCCGGGCACACCATGGCCGACGCAGACGAGGGCTTTGGCCTGGCGCACACACCCCTGGAACCTGACTCAAAGGATCTGCCCTGCGACTCCAAGCCCGAGAGCACGCTAGGGGCCCCCAGCAAATCCCCGGCGTCCCCACAGGCTGCCTTCACCCAGCAGGTAAGAAGACCTCTAGCCTCTCGGCCCGTCGCAGAAACCGAAGGCCCTCCCGTGGGGGAGGGGCGGGGGGTGGGTTGCCCGTTGCCCATTAATTGTCCCCTTTCCTTTCTGTCCCCGCTCATTCCACCTTCCTGTGACCCGCGTCCCCAGATCCCAGTATATATACTCCTATCCCTTTTATCGTGACAATAATCTTTACGGCCAGAGGAATTTGAACATACATTTAAGTTGTTAGAGAAGGCTTAATTATCTGGCTATTTGGGGCCAGCTAACAATAGCCCAGATGAGGCCTTTGCTCCTGCGCTAGGTGCAGACTCAGCCCGGAGCACCTCATTAAGGGCTGGGTCAGCGGCCGTTTCAGGCCGGCGTGAGCGATGGCTTGACCCCTCTTCAGATCTTCCCCAGCCTCCGCCTCCGCCCACCTCCTCCCGCGCCGCCGCCCGGGACCCGGGAGTTGCGCTATTTGTCTTGGGCCGGGCTCTGGAAGGCTGGCGCGCCTTGGCTGGTGGCGGAGAGCGCAGGGCTGTGCTGGGAGTTTGCTGGGGGCCACAGGATACCTGGCGGGAAGCTGGGCCCGAGTAGAGGGTGAGGCCTCGGCGCACTCTGTACCTTCTTTCCTGGGCGCTCTGGATGCTCAAGGAGGCCCGCGTAGCTCTTGATAATTTACACAAGGTGTCAGATGGGGTGCCAAGCGGGGTGACTTGACCAGCAGAGACATTCGGATGTAGCCAAATCCTTTCTTTGGGATTTCGATCGATCCATGTCCTTCCTAGCTACTTTATCACCTGCGTCTTTGCCCTTCCCGTCTCAGGAAGACGTGTGTATGGTTATAGAGAAGCAGAGGGCGGTGGGCACAGAGTTTGAGAAACTTCGATTGCTTTTCTTTTTGGAAAAGCAAATCCACTTACGAGACAGTTACAGATTATGGCAAAACGAAGATTTTTGTGTATGTATTTTTTTGCATCGGTTTTGTAAAAATAGCTTTTAGCTGAAAGTGGAAATGTTGAATAGTTTCGGCTGTGCCCAGAATCAAAACAGCTCGAAGTGAACGAAGTTGGCTGTGAGGAGAACCTAGAAGGTTTGCTCATAGAGACATTTGAGGATTAATTTTTTTGGACTACTGGAACCTCTTCTAGACACGTTTTTAAGTTGAGATATTCACATATGTCTATGTTTGCACTGCCACGGTGAGACTAAACACGCGTATGTACGGGATTTGCACGTCTGTGTGTTTGTGTGTGCTCATGCGGGTGTCTACAGAAGGATGTTCTGAGTGGGCTTTTGAGATCGAGCATTTTTGTTTTTGCTTTTGTTTTTTAGTTGCATCTTGACTGAAAGGGATTGAGATTGTTCCCCCCCCTTTTTTTTTTTTTGTCTCAGTATGTCCTCACATGGGCATGTTCGAGCACCCGGGTGTTTGGGGACTTTTCTCTAGCTTTGTGTTGGTGGCATCAGGAGACAGCAGTGCACCGTGGGGGGGCGTGCACGGGGCCTGCACAGGGATTCCTGTCCCCCCTCCCCGGGAGTCCAGGCAGCCCTGCCGTGGGCTGGGGGCAGTTCTCAGCCTCGGAGTCCAGAGACTCCAGAGGGAAGGAGACATCTGTATTTGGGGAAAGTTTGGGGAGGAAAGGTCCACTGCTCCTGGGGCTCGTCTGTGTGACTTTTCTCTTTTTCCTATAGGGCATGGAAGGGATCAAGGTGTTTCTCCACGAAAGAGAGCTGTGGCTGAAATTTCACGAAGTAGGAACGGAAATGATCATAACCAAGGCTGGGAGGTGAGCTGGCCACCTCTGTGGAGGGCCTGGGGAATTTGTGGGGGAGACAGAGAAGGAAAGGTGTCTCGGAGACCCAAGAGACGGAGACCCAGAGAAGGCAGAGGGGCAGAGAAAGGCGAGAACAGAATAGAGGAGAGAGAGAATGAACGTATTTTGTTTGACCTGATTTGGGTTAAAGATGCCTGGAGAAGTCCTCCAGTGACCCCCATCCCTGGTGGGGGAAACGCCTGCAAGAAACAGGGCATTTCTCCCACCTCATATAGAAGAATGGAGAGCTTGGGAGGCTGCGCTCAGTGGACTGGTCGTGGGAGAAAGTGGGACGAGGGGGAGAGGGAACGGGAAGCCAGAGAGGTGCCGAGTCGGCACAGAGATGAGACCCGCTTCCAGCCTTGACTCCTGGCCCCCGCCCTCCTTCCCACCCTCCTCGACCTTGGAGTGGGTCCAGAGTCCCACCCGATTGCCAAACGCTGAATTGTCGAATGTATTCGCTACCTCTTTCATTGTTTATAGAAAGCAGGCGAAGCCTTTGAAACTGAACCGGGGCTCGGCCGGGCTCTATATACACACACCGATAAACACGGCAGTTTCGGCAGTTTTGCCAAGACACTCACCCCAGAGTTCCTCTTAAAAGCTCACAGTTTTGTGCTAGAAATGCTAGACGGCTGGAGGAGGCTGGGGGAGGGTCGTACAGCTCTGTATCTCAGGGTGCCAGTGTGCCCAGGCCCGGGGCCATCCTCACCACAGGCCTCCTGGTGCTCCGTGCCCTGAAGGGCAGAAAGCCCGCAGTCAGCCCCAAGCTGGCGTGTGAAGCCCGCCTATGAAGCTGGCGAGGGCAGTAGGCCTGAGCCACCGAGTGTGTGAAGGGGGAGGGTGGAACCGTCTCACCAGATGCCCCCCGTTCTCTGGCCGAAGCCTCCCGCAATAAACTGACAACAGTGACATTTATTATTATTTGAAATTAAACAACGTCTGCTCCCCCGCTCGGCCTGAGTGAACTAGGAGGCGCGTTCTGTTTATGCTGAAGAACTAAGCTCTTCTTCCCATTCTGCCGAGGAAGGAAAGACACAGCCCGGCCCCCTCTGCCCCCAGCCTGAGCTGAGGGGATTTAACTATAAAAGGCCTGGGAAGCCTCCCGCGCGCCCGCCTGCAGGCGCACGCGCTCGGGCAGATAAACACCACCAGGCTTGGGCTCCAAGGCCTCCCTTCACTCACTCCCTTCCCACCATCCTTGGGCGAGCCGGGATCCAGCAGCTTGTCCTTGCTGGCTTTCTGGGGTGCACGCCATCCCTCCTCCACAGGAGGGCTGGGAATTTGGAGTGCGCGCCCCAGAACGCAGAGGGTATGGGTACAGAGCCTGCAGGTCCCAAGCACCCACCTGCCCATGACCCCATTGCGGTTCTGGCCCCAGTCTTTCCGAAATCAAACCCAGATGGGTTTTGAGTTTCTTCACGGAGGGCCAAAATGTTTAGACTCTCCAAGGAAGAGTGCCAGGCGCCTTGGAGAAGTTGGGGGGCATTTAGGAATAAAATTTGGCTACAGCCTCGTGGCAGAGGTCACCAGCTGAGCTCTGCTCTAGGGACGGAGGACCGTGGCCAGGACAGGAGGTGTATGGGCACCCATGGGTGTGCAGTCCCGAGGGCGCCCACAGCCTGGGGTCCTCATGAGGCGGCAGCAGTGGGCTCAGCGGCCCAGCACCCGCCTGGGCTCGGGAGGCCAGCTTTTCCCCTAATAGGGCTCCTTCTACCCCTAAATTAAAAACTAGGTCTCTGGCTCTGAAAAAGAGCGTTTACAAAGAACAGAAATGGGGGTTCCAAACAGGGCCTTCCACATAACTAGTTCTTTCTAGAAGCCTTGGCCTCCAGCTTTCTATTTTCCTCCTGGTTACAAATAGTCACCAGCCTCCTGCTCACCTCCAGGCCTATCTCCTCCCCAAAACTTCAAGGGAAACCTGGAATGGATTTTGCCAAGAGCGGAGCTGGGGCCACTTTTCTCCTGCACGCTTCTCCTTCCCGAGGAGTTGCTTCTTTTATTAAAATGTGTAGACGTGCTCTTTACAGTACTGGCAGTAATATTCTCTTTCTCTCTTTCTCCCTCTCTCCCGCTCCCTTTCTCCGTCTTCCTCCCCTTCTCTCCAAGGCGGATGTTTCCCAGTTACAAAGTGAAGGTGACAGGCCTTAATCCCAAAACGAAATACATTCTCCTCATGGACATTGTTCCGGCCGATGACCACAGATACAAGTTTGCAGATAATAAGTGGTAGGCACCTACCGGCGTGGGCAGGTGGGGAGGGCGGGGGTGGGGAGTGGAAAGCCTGACTCCCCTCACCGCCGCTCCCGCATTGAACCAAGAAACATTTTTTGAACTCCCTACTGTGGGCCGAGGCTTTTGCTGCTATCCCGGACCCCCCTGAGAGGAAAACACTGCAGCCTTTAGCCCCCATTTTATAGACAAGAAAACTGAGGCTCGGAGTAAGTGAAGGGCCTGTATGTGTTGCTGCACCCGCGGGTTGTGGATTTTAAAAAAGGGTATTGTTTCCAAGCGCTGGAGGTATTTCTGGGGGCATAAAACCATTTACAGTTATTTTTTATGAGTTACCTGCTTTGAACATGCCTTTTTATGAAATTGCAAAGTCAGGCCATGGTATTTGAGTTAAACAGGCAAGAGAGGAGAGGTCCATTCCTTGGGTGGATTGCTCCCGTGGCTGCCAAGCGATCAGAGGCTCGAACAGGAAGGCCCGTTTGAAAGCCCTCAAGGACTTCTCTTAAACTTTTTTATCCAGGCTTCCAGAACCTACCAATGGTCCATGGGCAGCAAGAGGCCGCGAGGCCTGGCAGTGGCACCCCTGGTACAGGGGGAGGAGTGAAGTGGAAGAAGAAAGAGCTGGGTGGGGGGGCTCACCTGGGCACTGGCCGCAGGCCTTCTGGGCACCTGGGCTTACAGATGGCCGGGCGAGGGCCCAGAGTCAGGCCATTTCCAGATCATTCTCCTATTCAGCAGCCCTTGCCTGGCCTGGCGCCGGACCCCGCCAGCATGACAGGGCGCTAAGTCTGGGTGGGTTTCACCCCTCCTTGGTCTAGGTCTGTGACGGGCAAAGCAGAGCCCGCCATGCCGGGCCGTCTTTACGTGCACCCGGACTCGCCAGCCACGGGGGCGCATTGGATGCGGCAGCTGGTCTCCTTCCAGAAACTCAAGCTCACCAACAACCACCTGGACCCATTCGGGCACGTAAGTACCTCGTGCGGCCTGCTCTCGGTCTCTGTCCATCTGTCGGTCTTGCTGTCTCTCCTCCTCCGGCGCCCTGAGTTTCTTTCTCTTCTTGGCTCCTCACACTCACGTTTTTCCTTCCCTCGCCCCACTCCACCCGCCTGGGTCTTTTCCTCTCTCAGCCTCCCTGATCCGGCCTTCTTCCCTTCTGGCTCCACCGCTCTCCTGTGCAGTCCTCTCTGTGGGCCACCGTGCCATGCTCTGAGGCTGCCTTTCCCCGGGTAGCTGGAGACCGGGGCCTGGGGGAGACTGAAGCGCACATGCCTGGTCTGGACCTCAGTCCCATCGGTGATGAGGGGTGGGGGGCTGTATGTTTCAGATCTCAGAAAACCGGGTCCTTCTAGCCCAGTGGGGACTCCGGCACTGGCTTGCCCAGAGGCCGGACCGTGGTGGGAGCTATAGATACCTTCCTTGCTCACTTCCAAATCCTGCCTTATTATTGAGATGTTCCAGCTGACAGGGACACCCCAGGCCACCTGCTCCCTCTTTTACAGATGGGGAAACCAACCTGCCAGAGGCCAACCCTGGTACCCGTGTTTAGCTGATAGCTTGGGATTATCAGTTTTTCCCCCCAGCTTCCAGCTTCCCCGCTGCCCCGCCCCCACCATGCCCGGAGCAGGCAAACCTGGACCAGAGCCCTAAACCTGGAGTCCACATGGGCCCCCCAAGAGCGACCTGGTGAATCCCCTGATTCTGCATGCGGGACATTGAGTGTGCTGCCCCCCCCCCCACCTTCCAAAAGAACGTGTAGCCTTTTAGCAGATTCTCTCGCTTTAAGTAGATTCTCTTCCTCAACAAAAAACAAATGAAGAACAAAACACCGATTTGGGGGAAAATGTCTCTAGATCTTTTCATTGGCAATAATTGATCACCAGCACAGGACACAGTCTCTGAATTCAGTGCGTGCAGAACCCTTGGCTTGATGATTCCACCATCAAGTGGGCTCCTTCATCTTCGGGCACTTGGCCTTCATAGCAACCTAGGAAGGAGGACACAATGTGCAGCCTTTATAAATGGGAGTCCAGGTGACGGGAGGGCACTTGCCCAAGGTCATGCAGCTTGTATTTGGCAGCAGGGATTTGAGGCTTGATCTCTCTAGTTCCAAGAGTGGTCTCTGTCTTGCCATGTGGTCTCTTTAGGGAAAGTCAACAAACACAGGGTCCTTGGTTGAGGGTACTGGGTTTGAATGGATTTGATCTGGAGGAGGACCTTTTGGGATCCAGACGGAGAACCTGCTCCTGTGGGGCCTTAGGGCTAAAACACTGAACCTGCAGAGTGTGTGGTGGGGTTGGGACAGTGATGCAGGCCACCGCCGTCTCTGCACGTGGTCCTGGGGAGCTTGAACTGTTGGCTGCTGGGAGGAAGAGAGAAGGAAGGCCCATTCCCTTCCTGCGCGGTGGGGAAGGAGCAGAGGGTGCCGAGGGGCGTTTCAGGGCAAAACGCCGGGCCTCCTCCGCGTTTCAACCAGGCAGTTTGCCCGCAGCCTGCCGCAGGCGGGAGCATCCCCGCCCAGAAATGCTCTCCAGCTTTCAGGGACGTCGGCTGGCCCGGGTCACGCATACCTGCGGGCACAGAACCGGGCCTCTATTTAGGTTAAGCGCCGCGGAGAAATGGCATGGTTTTCCCCTCCTGGCTGGAGGCCTCCAGGAGGCTGGTAGGACTCGTTTGTGGGGGACTGCGTGGAACTTTGGTGCCAGACAGCGGGACTGCCCTCCAGCCCCACTCGGGCACCTGGCTTTCTCTCTGCGTGTGTCCCGGGGTGCCCTTTGGGGTCGCCTTGGGGTGGGCGCCTGGGAAAGGCGCGCGGCCCCGCAACCAGGCTCCGGCACCCTTGCGAGTTTCCGGTCCTCCCGAGCCTGCGGGAGAGGGAGGGCGCTCGGTGTGGCCCCGGACTCCCCCGCTGCCACGCAGCCCTGCCCCCCAACTCCGGACTCGGAGTCCAGAGCCGCCCTAATGAAATTAGGAGCCATTAGATCGCCCTCGCGCTGACGTCTCCACACTGTCCCCGGCCGTCAAAGCAATTTGGCTAAGCCGGGACGATGGGCGCGCCGGCCGGGGACTGCGGCGGGCCGCGGGGCCCCGCTGCGTCTCTCTGTCGCCACGCCGCCCCGGCCGGCGTCGCTATCGGCCAGGGAGGCGGCCGGGGCCGCGGCGGCCGGAGATTAGAGCCGCGCGGCCCGGGGTCGTCGGGAGCCGCGGGGTCCGGGGTTCTCGCCCCCCCCCCCCCCCCCCCCCCCCCCCCCCGCCTCCTCCGGGCGGGTCTCTAGGGTTGGCCCAAGGACCCTGCCCCAGGGTCATCAACGCAAATAATCAAAGACACCGGGACAGTCTCCGCCGCTCCAGTTGGCGGTCCTGGGGAAAAAGCAGGCCAGATTTTCAGCCCGTTGAGCGCGGCGATTGGCGCATTCGGTGGGTATATATCCGAACGCTTTGATAAATGTTCGCTTATGCAGCCTCCCGAAATCATCAAAAGCCAGGCGTCCTCCAAATAGCAAAGCCGGTTTTATTAGCAAAGATGCTCATCTGCTAGGACTAGTCCCGCTCCAGCAGAGAGGGTGTGGAGTGTGGAGCCTCTCTCCCCCTTAATACTGATTAGAGTCGTATTAAAGGTGCAGCTGCAGCAATAAGACCCCGCTTGTCCCTGGGAGCACCTCAAACATTGAGATGGTAGAAAGGAGGGAGAAAGCGTGCGTTCCCAAAAAAGTAGATGCAGTGCTTCTGTCTGGGGCCAAGTCTGGAGATAGTTCCCACGGTGGATCCCGAAAACGTTGATAAAAGTTGCAGAAAGGGAACCCGGAGAGAAGCAGGCCCTCCTTTGGTGGCGGTGTGATGGTGGGTGCTTCTTCCCTCCATCTCACCATCCTTGGAGGCCCACTCCCCATCCCATTATCTTCTTTTTTTCATTGACTCTACTTTGCACGTTCTCCTAACAAAGGGCCAAGCCTGTGATTTTTACTCCAGTTCTGCAAACACTGGTCTTTTCCGTCTCTTAGAGGGTTTCTTGTTTTTGGGGGGGATGTTTGTTTATTCGTTTGTGTCTTCTCCCCTTTCATTCCGAAAATGACGCTTAAACTTCTCCCTGGGAAACCAGTTCCTTACTCCAGACTTGCTTCTCTCCGATTGGGGGTGGGGGGTGGGGAAGTACCCTATGCAGGAGTTAATTTATTAAACAAACTTTATTAAGAATTCTGATTTACTGCCGTGTGTGCTTTGGGTAGATTCCTGGAATATTACCTTGGCTTTTTGGGTTGGAAATTGTCATTTTTGAAATGTTTCTTTTTAATGAAATCACTGGCCCCCTTTTCCAAACAGGAGAAAAAAAAATCAGACCGTTTTTTGAGAGCCTGTATAAGGAGGTGAATTTTAAGGGTGGAAAGAGGGGATTTATCGGGAAACAAAGGGGTTTTGATTTTTCTTACAATCTCATTTTCCTTATTATTTTTAGATTATTCTAAATTCCATGCACAAATACCAGCCCAGATTACACATCGTAAAGGCGGATGAAAATAATGGATTTGGCTCAAAAAATACTGCGTTCTGCACCCACGTCTTTCCTGAGACGGCGTTTATCGCGGTGACTTCCTACCAGAACCACAAGGTAAGCCCAAGGCCCGGGAACCGGCATGCTGGGGCCACTGCCTGTGCCTTTGCAGGAGGATGCAGCGGTCCCCTGCTGAAACTCTTAAGCTCTAAGGGCTTCTTCATTCCCTCACAGCGGGCACCAGCTTCTACCCCAGGGGGCTGGGGCAGGAACCAAGCTACAGCCTGGAGGTTCCAGCTCTCTGTACTATATTCAGGGTTTTGCGGGACTCTCTGTCTCTCCGTCTCTCCTTGTCTCTCCGTCTCTGTCTCTCTATCACACAAACACACACCAGTTAGAAACAAACTTGTCAGACTGTAGGTGACCGCACATTCAAATACAGGAACGCATCTCTCTGCACACGTGAAGTGATCGCCAGGAAGAAAGGTCACTTTACTGCAGGGCTCCGTGCTCTTGGGTGGGGGCCTGGTGCCACCTTTGTGGAACCTCTTTCTCGGGTGAGAGTCTCTCCTCCAGTCTGCCTTTGGGATGCATTTCAACTTGACCTGGGGCAGGTGGCAAAGTTGCCAGGAGCCTTGGGCTTGGATTTGCAAGATGCTTCTTTCATTTTCTCCGTGGTTACTGATCCCGGACAGACCACGGTGAGGCAGGGTTGGCATTGTTGAAAATCAGAACAAAACCCCAAAAAACCCAAGCGACCTGTGCCACCCCACCCCCGACCCAGCAACTCCCAGGAGTTAGAGGAGACCGCACGCAGCAAACCACAGCTTGCGGATGCCTCAGTCTTCCAGAAGGAGGCTGCAGTGTGGTGTAGACGTAGGAGGGTACAGCTTGATCCTGTCAACGTCAGATCCCACGCTGTTCAAAATCCAGGCCCCAATTTGGGCATTTCCAAGCTGGACGATGGTGCTGGAACAGGGTACCCCCTCACAGCAGGTGGGGGGGTATCTTTTCTTTTTTCCCAGGAGAAAGGGCTCCTCTTGACTTCTCATGGTTCACTTCTGTTCTTTCGAAACTTAAGTGCCTCTGGATTCATTTTATTGGTGGAGGGGGGCAGGATTGAGTGATTCTTAAGCCTCGTTCTGAAAAGACATATCGTATCTGGCAAGGCAAGATACAGGGAAGGGGGAACTGTAGGGGTGCAAGTTGTTAACATTAAGTAGTGTGATCTGGGTTGGAGGACTGTTGAAGGCTAATATAGGGGCTTCCACGTGGGATCAGTGAGGGCAGGTCACTGGGGCAACATAAGGAGATGCACATGGGGATGGTGACGCCCTTCCTCCTCCACAGCTCCTGTCTCCACCTGCAAGGTAGGGTGGCGGGAAGTTACAGGGGCTGTGAAGCCAGGTGGAAGAGGCCAGGGCAGGGGTGAGGGGTGGGTGTAGTACCCTAAAGCCTCCCGCCTACACGCTGGGTGTCGGATAACACCCCCTCCCGAGGAAACCAGGGCAGTTATAAGATGGCAGTGTCCAAATTCAGCTTGTCAGTCACCAGGCCAAGTTGTGATGGATGGTCCTTTCTAGGCTGCAAGTCCTGTCTGGGGACCCAAGCCTTGAGAGAGCTTCCCTCCAGAAGAAAACTCACTCTCTCTAAAATGCAATTACTTTTTAAAGGGGAAGAAGGATTTTTCTGAATTCCACCCCTGACTTGTCAAACCAACAAGAGCAAAAACATTAAGGTCAAATACTCTGAAAATTGCAAAACTATTTCAGGCTAATTTGGGTCTGGCTCCTAGAAACCTGTTTCCTCTACGGCTATTGTAAATCTATGTTTAACTTTGTGGTGACAGTCACAGGGGAAAAAATAGCAATGAGCACACTCAGTTTCACTGCTCCCTCCCTCTCATAGGTATATACATACAAACACACACACACACACACACACACACTTAGACCTGACAGAGGGTCCAAAGATATATCAGATTCTCTTTTCTTTTCTTTCTTTCTTTTCAATTAAAAAAGCCCAGACTCACACAGAAAGGACAGGAAATGGTGGACTCATGAAAGTGACCTGCTAAAGAAAGATGTGAGTGCTTGGGTCCTTTGGGGGAAATCCCTACGCTCTGTGTAGTTATGATCTTAGGGTCCGTCAGGCAAGGCTAGATCTGGGAGAGCATGTACTCTCTCTCTCTCTCTGTCTCTTTCTTTGTTTTTTAAAAGATTTTATTTATTTGTCTCAGAGAGAGAGAGAGCTAGCGCACAAGCAGGGTGAACGGCAGGCAGAGGGAGAAGCCGACTCCCCGCTGAGCACAGAGCCCAAGGCGGGACTCAATCCCAGGACTCTGGGATCATGACCTGAGCCGAAGGCAGATGCTCAACCAACTGAGCCACACCAAGGCGCCGCTCTTTCTTTACTTTTTGAGGCATAACTGTCATACAATAAACTGCAATATTTGAAGTATACAATTTGACGAGTTTGACATGTATTTATCATTGTGACCACTTGTGAATATACCCCACTCCCTCATATTTCTATTTTTTTAAAATGTCCTTCCCAATGAATATATTTAGTGATCTATGCTCTTGAAGGAGTGTCTGCCCAATAGGGTGTATACGTGTGAGATTTGAGTGCAATTTAGGGGATTGTGTGTCTAAATGCTCACGGGTCTAAAAATGTGTGTCTCCAAGTCCGCATCTGGATAGATGTGTGTCTGATGACCACACAAAGGGTTCACAGATGGGAATTTGAGTATTGTTTTGTTTTGTTTTTAATTGGTTGGGCCATAAAGGTTTTTTTCACCAGCCTGACATCCGGAAGAGGGATTTCATAGGAGACAACTTTCCGTCACTCTTCCCCCTCCCACCTTTTAGCTGTGAAGTACCAAAGGCCCCTATGTTCTTCGTCAGGAGGTAGTCTAAAGCAGTAAAATTTTCCAGCCCACTCCAGGGCCCCTGCAGGCGTTCCCCGCGTGGATATAGGACGTGTGACCTAAACACTCAGGCCAAGCTGAGTGTGGTTTGTGGACTCTGTCTTGTTCCTTTATTGTCCCACCTGGGCGAGGTATTGAGACTCTTGATTTCGTGGGCAGAAGCCACCTGCGCTCTTACTCACCCTTGCCTAGGGTTCGGGTGGGACTCTGGAGGCAGGCTGCCTGGGTTTAAATCCATTTGACTTGGGCAAGTTACTGGATTCAGTTTTCCTCCTTTGTAAAATGGGGATGAGACAAGAATTGCTTGTGTTTATCATCGTGAGGACTAAATGAGATAATCTTTGGAAAACGTGTAGCACAGAGCATTGCACGTACGCTCACGCAGAGGGTGAGTGATGATGCTGTGGATTGACTACTCAGCTGATCCGCTTATAACAGGACAACTCCATCCAAAACGCAGGCCCTGGGAAACTCTTTGCCTTCCCTGATTATTCTAGAATCAGAAGAACTGAGCTTTCAAATAAGTTCTTTTTACCGTGCTTGAAAAACCACTACAAGTGTCAGTCTTGGTGGGTGAGTTCGTTCAGTCCCTGAACCTGCCATCAATTCAAGGACTCTTTGCCCCGCATGAAGGTTTGGATACATGAACAAGTACAGAACAGCAATCCACGGGATTAAACTGACAGGACAATTTGGGACACTCATTTTTGGTGTAAGTGACCCGATGCCTTTAGAATGCTCTTTCTCTGCTCCGATGCTGGTATCCCAGGTGGAGGCAGGTACCTGGCGACCTTCGTTTGTTAGGCAGGGGTCACACACCCGTACGCCCTGGGGCTCCTAATGACACGACGACATGTTTCCTCAGCCCAGCTGTGATCCCAAGCTGGATTTGGGAGTTATTTTCCCAGATGGCTGGCAGCTTGAAAAAGATATTTAAAAAGCTCGACTCTTCTGCAGCAGTGACGTTTGCTCTGTGAAACACGTTTTTGTAAGGTTTTCGATGAGGCTGTCAGCAGCGCCCAGAACAAGCCCTAGAAATATTTAGGTGTTAAAAAAAGGTCACATGGGCATTTCATTTCTCTGCTCTTGCAACAATGGCTGTGTATGCAAGCCATGTCTATCCCCCGATATTAACTTACTTTGTCATTAAAAGGCATTTTTCCTCCTGCTTAAATCATTGTGTAAAGAGTCTGTATTTATGAGGTATGAGCTTTCTGGTTGGGACCAGGAAATGAACCCCTAATAGAGAGACATAATTAAGATTTTTGGCCCTCGTGAGGGTTTTTTTTTTCAAAAGCAAGAATTCACAACAATTATTCTCATTAATTTTTACAACCTCTGTCTCACTGGTTGGAGCTGGTATTTATATTTGTTTTAGCTCTCCCCCTCCACCCTCCCCCGGATATCCGGTTTTATGCTGATCTTGGAGAGGGAGTACATTTGTGTGACGAGTGCAAGTCCGTTTCATTGGAGCCTTTTAGTAGAACTCAGACATCCGACCGGATCATATGCCCGTGAGTGAGCTAGCCAACATGCAGCATGTTTGGAAGGGAATTCCAGAGCTGGGGTTTGTACGGACTCAGGCGGACATTTTCACCTGTAGCTGAGCTTGTGTATGACCATTTCTCAAGGGTAATAACCCTTATGTTTTCTAGACCTCCATACTCAGTCTACGCACAAGACCTGCGTAAGATCAAAGTACTGAAGTGTCTGTGTAGCAAAACGTGCTTGTCCTCTGCAATCATATTTTTGGAAGCTCAAACATTAGGTAGTAGGACCTGTTTGGGGTGCAAGGAATTGTTTCAAGCAAAAGATTTTTGCTGATAAAAATACCAAAGCCCATCTCCCCTCCTTTTTTTTTTTTCTTTTCTTTTTTTTCCCTTCACGGTAATTGTTTGTCCCCGGCTCTTGGTGGAAGAGAGACATCATGGACTAGTCATTCATTCAGCCCCGATACCACACCCCGTGTTGCCTACAAAACTCGCAGGGAAGTGCAGTGAGGATTCCCTCCACCTCTTTTTGAATGATCTGATTTTTACTTCACATTTTGAGAATCCCCCCCCACACCGCCTTTTAAAAAAGCATGACTTATGGTCAGTTGGATTGCATTTTTTAATGACAAAGCTTAAGTGGGAAAGAAAGCTCTACTGGGTAATGGGCTGTTGGACTCAAAACAGAAGTGGATTCGGGAGTGCACATTTTAAAGAATGTGTTCCTAAGAGACCTTTACAGGTTTTTCTACTCATTCTGAAGGGTCAAGTCAAAATCAGAAAGTTGTAGGAATGGGTCTAGTTTAAAAAAAAATGAGGGAGGGGGAATGTGTGTATACATAAAGACCCACACCTATTTAAAAAATTTTAAAATATGTCTTATTTTTTTAAAGTGGTTTTAGGGTGACAGCAAGGTTAAGTGTGCCCCCGCCCCTCCACAAAGGCTCCCCCACCATCAACATCGCCCACCAGACTGCGACATTTATTACAATCGATGAACCTACACTGAGACATTGTTATCACCCAGAATCTACATGAGGGCTCGCTCTTGGGGGTCGTAGATTCTGTGGGTGTGGACACATGTAGAGTCCCGGACATGTATCGACCGTTCCATTATCATACAGAATAGTTTTACTTAAAGTCCTCTGTGCTCTGCCTATTCATCCCTCCCTCCCTGCACAAACTCTGGCAACCACTGGTCCCTTTTTGCTGTCTCTATAGTTTTGCCTTTTCCAAAATGTCGTATGGTTGGAATCATATAACATTTTTAAAACTTGAATTTTATGTATATTTTTTATGGCAAGCACACACACACATACACGTGTGTAATATAGTAATTTCATGTTCATTATAGAGTCTTGGAGTTAGAAGGAAACCTTATAAGGCCATCTCTTCTGGAAAACAGAACATACCAGAATGCCTGCCCCTAAAGGGATGACTTATAGGTGCATTCACTAGTTACTACTCCTGGTTTCTCAAAGGAACTTGCTCGGTTTCTCAAAGTCTGGAACTCACCTATGGGGGGTAGGTAGCTGAGGTAGTTTTCGTGGGTACTTGCATACGATGCGATCACAGAAAATTGTCCTTATTTTGATTATCTTTCTTTTTTTCTTTAAATTTTTTATTGTTATGTTAATCACCATACATTACATCATTGGTTTTTGACGTAGTGTTCCGTGATTCATTGTTTGTGCATAACACCCAGTGCTCCACGCAGAACGTGCCCTCTTTAATACCCATCACCAGGCTAACCCATTTGATTATCTTTCTATTCATCTATCAGGGAGAGAGTTCAATCCCAGTGTGTGTTAAATACGTCTCTAAAAGTGTCTCGTTTCCCCTTGTAACAAAGTGAGGGCAGGCCTTGGGTTTAGAACTTTCTGCGGGGGCCAGTAGAGAGAATTTGATACAATAGTTTTCCTTTTATTTAATAGCTTATGATTCCAGCTTGAGGTAGAGAGAAGTGATACCATATTTTTTGTAAAATAAATATAAACAAAAAGTGGTTAGATTTAAATCAAAATACTAAGCAGAGACCAGTGTAGAGATAGATATATTATAGAAATAGTTTTACATTATAAGTATAAATAATAGTATATATTATATACCATTATTATATAAAAATAAGATTACAGGGCGCCTGGGTGGCTCAGATGGTTAAGCGTCTGCCTTCGGCTCAGGTCGTGATCCCGGGGTCCTGGGATCAAGTCCCGTGTCGGGCTCCCTGCTCCTTGGGAGCCTGCTTCTCCCTCTGCCTCTCTCTCTCTCTCTCTCTCTCTCTGTCTTTCATGAATAAATAAATAAAATCTTTAAAAAAAAATAAGATTACAGATATAATACAATAATGATGGTGAATGTGAAGCTTGCGTGATTGAACCTCATGAATGCTGCTGCGGTGGCTCTTAAATGATTCAATAAATAAAAATTCAATTCACATGCAGCCTTTAGGAAATACTTTTAGCAGACTCCCTACGGATATACTCTTTCACCTGGATCTGTTACTCTATGCTCACGCTTATAGACAATGTGTTGATGGTTTCCGTGGAAGTTCCGACCGTTGAACCCAAGATCCTGTTCTATTGCTAAGTTTTGTACATTGCAACAAACATTCGCAAGAAGAGGGCTCTGTGTTCTTTATCTGGAAAACTGAAGGGCTTTGGAACTGATAGACAGCTATCATGTATGTTACAGTTCTCTCTGTGGGTGTTTATTTAATCCGGTGCCATCTTCCACTTGTGCTAACTGTGTCTGTGAAGCTGAAATGAACAAGGCATGAGACAGAGCAGAATTTTGAAAGCAACCAAGTTTCTCCAAACGGCGCTCACCAAGCTGCGGGACGAGCAACACCACCACGTCCCTGTGACCAACTTTCCGAGGGGAAGGAGGGCTCCCAAGTGCTGAGGCCTAAATTGTGTTTGAAACACAACATGCTAGGATTAAAAAAACAAACCAACCCAGCTGGAGTGATGCAGAGTATGACTCCAATTAACGGGCAAACCGAAACCAGGTTTTTTCCCCTTTTAAAAGTGGTCTGATCTAGGGCATTTTTCAAAGCCTCCTCTTGAATGAAGTGGTGGGTCTCACTGACGTGACTGGCTTAATTTGCTTCTTTTGGTCGCCAGAGGCTGCATTTCCAGCCATCAAGTGAAAACCAACTCTCTCTCTCTCCTTTCTGCAGATCACCCAATTAAAGATTGAGAATAATCCCTTCGCCAAAGGATTCCGGGGTAGTGATGACATGGAGCTGCACAGAATGTCAAGAATGCAAAGGTATGAAGGTGGAGCGCTGGGCTCCCTTCTCTCCATGTGCCCCCCCCACGCCCCCAAGGAACCCAGGAGAACCAGCAGCAGCCCAGCACCTCCCTCCTCCAGCCTTCCTGCCTGCAGAGACCCAGGCATGTTAGCCATTGAGGAAAGGCGAGATAGGCACCTTCAGTCCCACTGTCTGACGAGCCCCACATGCTCCCATGTGGTTTACTCCGTGGGACAGCCCTGGGTGGTGGTGGTGGGGCGGGGGAATGTGTCCTCCGGGGATGGGAAGGGGGAGAAGGCACCAGGGAACTTGGCGTTCTCCATCTGCCCCGGGACAACAAAAGCTCCAACTTTCTCTCCCTTTTCTTTGCCTTCTCTCTCCTTCTCGTGAAATCAGTCCTTTCTCTCTTTCTTCCCATAAGTCACAGCCGATGAATGATTTTCTTTTTTGGCAACAGCTCTTGGTAAATGAAAGGGAAGTTAATGACTCGATTTCCTGGGGGTGAAATGCAGACAAATTTGACACCACGTGGTGGTCTGGGGGCACTGGGGGATTGGAAGCTGGTGATAAAAATTGCTCGGTATTTTTACATATCCTGTGGTCACAGTCGCTGATATGATGAATAGAAGGGGCTGTAGCAAATGTACATAGTGGGAATTTGGTCTGATTTGAAAGGATTTTACGAGCATTGCCAATTTTGTCAAACATTCTCTCTACCTCTTGATATGCTTCCAAAATAACTTACCATATGGCAAGAGAATTAGAAATACATCTTGATTCCTTTGACCAAGGGAGGGTTCCCTGTCCCCCCTTTTGGTGGGTTTAGTGTTTCAAAATAAAATGAGATCACGTAGGAAGCTTTTCCTTATCCTTTCTGGAAGACATGAGAGGGGTGAGTCAGGCAGGTGGACAGACATACCCATTCAAAGAAAGATAAGGGATCTAAGAGAGGAACAGAGAAAGGCCACAGTGTTGTCCTTTTCACGCTGGTTTGGAAATTCACGCATGGAAATTGTTTTTAGCGAGCGGGCATCCCTGATCTAAGTTTTCGTGCTTTCATTTATTTTTATTTATTATTATTTTTTTAAAAGCACTTTTTTTTGAAAAAAGATTTTATTTATTTATTTGTCAGAGAGAGAGAGAAAGAGCACAAGCAGGGGGAGTGGTGGGCAGGGGGAGAAGCAGGCTCCCCGCTGAGCAAGGAGCCCAATACTGGACCCGATCCCAGGACCCTGGGATCATGACCTGAGCCGAAGGCAGACGCTCAACTGACTGAGCCACCCAGGCATCCTAAATTTTGCATGCTTTTAAAAAAAGAAATCTACTTTGACCTTCAGGTGTGCACATCTCCGCCCCACTCATATGCATTTCAGCATTTATAATCAGTTTTCTTCCCGATCACAGATTAATAAGATGCTTTTTGTGGCTAAAAGAACCAAGTTCTTAAACTATTATTGTTAAAAAAATAACAACTGACTTTTTGAATGTCTGCACTTTGAAATTGGAGTTGGACTGAGTCTATGGTCAGTGGAAAAGTTGACAACAGGTGTCACAGAAAGCGGGTGGGGGGTGAGGGGTCAGCCTGTTTGCAGCCCTGGGCTCAGAGTGCTGGGCTGGTGTTGCTGGTCACGCCCCCCTGTCGTCCTGACACTGGTGGTCACTACGGGATTTTAGGCTTTGACAGAGTCTCACTTCCATCCTCCTGCGGGTGAGGGTCGAGGCCGTGCATGTAGGGACTGGAAGCAAGTTGCCCCGTTCCAGCCTGCAAACCAGGGGTCTTCCCTCCTTTCCACAAGGTCAAGAACAGGTGGGATCATGGACTTGAGATGTTATAAACCGCCCCTTCACGTGTAACCAGTCACCAGATCTGGTTACCCTCAGTATAAGGTCCAGACTCTTTCCCGTGGTGGGCCATGCCCTTCTCGTCTGACCCGGCCACTCCCCCTCGCTTTGCCCCCCACCAGTGCCCCCTCTCTGTCTCCATCATGCTCAAGGGGATGCTCCACGTCTGTATCCTTCCCACTGTTTTTGGCCCTTGGAACAGCATGTCTGGTCTGCCTCAGGCTTTCTCCCCTCCTTCTCACTCGGCCATCTCCTGCCCATCGCTAGGTGTCCTTGGAGCTGTCCTTTCTTCCAAGAAGCGTTCCCTGGCCCCAGACTGTGGATGTCTATCCTCAGGACCCCTCCTCGCTGCTTTCCTGTGTCAGGCCCGGGCCCTGCACTTTGGGAGCTGATGGGATAGAATGATAGACACGGAGGAGAGTCAGGTGGGGAGTGCAGGTGTCTGAGAGATGAAATGTCGGTCACCCCGGGGACTCTCCGCTAAAGTTTTAAACACAGCCGGTTAGAGATTTAGGCGGATGGCTCTACTTTGGTCTGAATTCGCTGTCCCGATCATCCCCCTGTTAGTGCAGATTGGCTGAGGGGTCGTCTAGGTGTCCTCTTAGGGTAGGCACTTGCAGAAAAAAAGGCGGGAAAGGGTGGTGGGTGTTCAGTAGGCACTATGTAATTGACATGCACGGTTAAAACCTGCAGCCTAAGAACCACGTGTGTCTTTGTGGCCATGTTAGGAGTTGCCTTGGGGAGTCAGAGGGCTGAACTAAGCACTGACCAGGCTGGGAGAGTGAACAGGGTCATCTGCCCAGTCCTGGGCACATGGCCCCTGGGAAGGAGATGGAGTAAGGCAGAGTGGCTCCAACAGAAGGCTATGGGACTCAGACGAACCTGGCTTCCATCCTTGCTTCTGCATTTATCAGCATGTGACCTCGGGCAAGTGACTTAACCTCCCAGAGCCTCAGTATCTCCACCTGTAAAATGGGCATAAATGATAGCTTCCACTTTCTAGGGTTCTTTTAAGAATTATATGAGAAAATGTCTATAGGGTGCCTGGTTCCTAGTCCACCCTCGATACAACGTATCTGGTTTGGGGGAAGACTCCCAGGTACTCCCGGTTTTGCCCTGGTTCGACATTTATTCTGGGCTGCGGTCCCAATCCTAGTGACAAGTAGGGAAGGTGGCTGTCCAGAGTCAGCCGTGATAACAGCCAGGCTGGAATGGCAGGCTCCCTGTTCATCTTGCAATCCTGTTTCCTGTCCCCCACACACCCAGTGACAGCTGGCCCCGCGGGGGGAATAAGCAAGAGGAATGACATTTCCTCTAATTCCAACAGTTGGAAGAAGAGGAGAGGGCTGGACACGGACTCGCAGTTAGCCCACATCAGTAACATCTGGATTCGCTTGGCCAATGTCTGGGCACTCACCCTGCTATCTCTCCGAGCCCCGCAGTCTGCGTTTGGAAAATGCAGATGATGTCTTAGTTATTTTTCCACCGTTCATTTATGGGCTCTGGTTACAGAAGCAAGAACTGCTTATTATAAAAATGGGCGAGCTGTGGAAAAAGCATGAGGAAGAAGATAAAATTATTTTAAAATCCTGTCTCTAGCCGACTGACTAAAATAAGTGCCAAGGTTATTTCAAAAGGTTAATCTGCGGCTTAAGAAGACATGTTACCCTAAAAAAACAGTATTTCCCAAATTGCAGGACCTCTACCCTGGTGACAGATGGGATGATTTTAGAAGATGTACAGACATGGGCACACCAGGCTGATTTTATAGACGGTATTGCTGGCAATGAGACTATGTTCTACAGGAGGAAGGAGAGAGGGAGGGAGGGAGGGGGAGAAGTAAGGCTGATTATTTAAGGGAAAATATTAAATAAGAGGAGAACCGGTATAAAGGTTTGGTGAACCTGTCAAGGTGATATGCAAGTGACAGAAATTTGGGAAATAACCCTACATGCTCATCCTAACAAGAAAGGTGTGGGAGCCTTCCTGCTGTTTGAAATGGCCTAGGCCCTGGTTTTCCGGGGAACGTTGCTTTCTTTGACCTTGGCTTCGGTCTTTAAGATGTGTTCAGGCAAGCTGTGAACTTCTTAAGAGTCAAGGGTGCTGGGGGCCAAGGCCAGGGCCACGAGGGGTGGGGGTGGGGATGACGGGGGGAGGGGCAGTGGAGGAAGGAGGGTCGGAGAAGGTCGGAGCTAGGTCTTGTGGGAAAGTGAGATTTGTGTTGGGAAGAAGGGTTTTCTGGGTTGGGTCGGGGTAGAAGTGGGCAAGGATCTACAAGTCTAGAGTAGGGGTCACATTCTGATGCTCTCTGGAAGCGTGCTGGGGTGGCACAGTGACAGGGTGGTTCTGGGGCCGGGGGCGGGGGGGGGGGCAGTTGCTCCGAGAACATGGCATTCTAGAGACAGAAAGGACTATAGGAGACAACGTCTCTTCTAGTTTTGCAGAAGGAGAAACTGAGGACTGGAGATTCATTTATTTCTCCAGTGTTTGATCTGTCCATTTGTTATTCAGGGAACACATGTTTATTAAGTGCTCACGCTATGGCAGGTCTTGAGGATGCCAAAGGTGAATCAGCACCCAGAGGAGCAGGGTCCACTGGTGGAATGCTCCAGAGTTGGGCTCCCCCAACTCCGCCCAACCTCTACTTCCTCATCTGTAAAATGGGGGATGATTACAGAACCTACCTCCGGGGCTGTTGCATGGGTGGAAGGAGGTAATGAGTGTGTCCTGATGACTATTGCTACATAACGGAGTATTCCCGGGCTTCACTGGGCCTGGCTGGGAAGGGGCCACAAGCTAGGCCATCCTTTGTCTGTGTGTGATGGTAAATCTGGGACAGCCAAAGCTCTAGAGACCACTTAACCTGTGCCTCCACAGCCCGCTAAAGGGACCTGGAAGGGCAGGCGACCTCAGTCTTGAGGTCTGAGATTCAGAGCGCCCTGAATCTCATCCAGGTGCAATCTGCTAACCCTCGCTCGTTAATGCTCGTCAGTACTACTGATGGTAAAAAGACCAGCCATTGCTTGTCGCCACTGTATGCAAGGTGAAGCAAGAGGTAACAGGAAAGCACCTTTATTTTGCTCATGGTTTGTGGGTCAGGAACTCGGAAAGGGCTCATCTGGGCCATTCCTGCCTGTCTTCAGGTGGTGGCTGGGGCAGCAGTGGCTGAAGGCCC